CAGCCTGCTGTCAGACTTTTTTTTAAGGAACTCCACCCCTGTCTTCAACTAATATTTCCCTGCATAACCAAATAACTAAGAAAAAACATAATTCTGAAAGGGAGTTATTGATCCTTCAAGAGTACAGTTAAAGGGATGCTAGTGGAAAAAATAAATGGTTTCGTTCCAAAACTTATTTAATCCTTATTAGCCTASGCCATCTTAGGCTATACTTCCTCCTGCATTAAACGGAGATAATTCCAGTTCTACCTCACGGATTAATATGAGGATCAAATGAGGCAGTACATATGAAAGCACACCTTGCAAATGTCTAATCAATACTTCCTATTTTCTTTGCGTAACTAATGGCAATCTATAAGCTTTCTGTTAACATTCTTCAGTGACTATTGGTGTTTTTTTTCCTCCCCAACCAAATTTCAAAACAAGGCACTAATCTTTGCACAATTTAAACCCACACCATGGAAACCTTGGCTATCTTACTTGGATTGCAGGGCTGGCGAATTTCCACTCCAGGTGGCTAAGCAGTAACAAACAAGGACTCACTGTTCATCACATCCTCACTCGCTCCGTGAATAAGTTTTTCTCCAAATTAAGTCGTTCATTTTGGACTTTTGTCCCTTCCAGTTACAAAACTTTAAAATATCCAAATACTTAAACAACAAACATTTTAAAACTTAAAGTTGAAGAGGTTTAAAAAATATTTCATCAAGGGAACAAAATGCAGTACTAAGGTATAGCACTTCAAGGTATTAAACCAGTGAAAATCCTCTCCAATGACCTGGTTCCACACATATTCTAGCACTAAAAATCAAAACAATTTCCAGATTTCTGAGAATTTCCCTGTATGTTCTAAATATTTTAATAAGACACAATTCTACTGTCTGTAATTTTTAAGATTAAATGCATGCACACAGAAGGTCATCAAATATTTGCTGAAGACATATTTACTTTTTACTACAGAACAACTAATCAACAAACAAAATAGAGCAGCAAAAAAACAAAAACAAAAAACCTCCATAAAATAGCATAGCATCTTACTGTGAAGATGCTTCAGATGTTCAGAAACCAACACGTTGATTAAATCTTTTAAACACTTTAAAAGGGCTCATAAAATTCACCCTGTTAAAGTACACAATTTAACTATATATCCACAAGGCTTTACAACCATTACCACTATCTAGAACATTTTCATCATTCCCCCAAAGAAACTTTAAGCCATTAGTAGCCACTCATCATTTCAACATCCCCCAACAGTCCCTGGCAATCTAAAGTCTATTTTTCATCTCTATATATTTGCCTATTTGGGACCTTTTATATAAATGGAATCATAAAATATATGAGTTTTCTAATTTTGAGTAAATCTTCCATTTCATTATCACGTGGTTTGTTTTCTTCCTAACTAAACATGACTGTACAACATGGTAACTGTAGTTAATAACAATATACTACACACTTGAAAAACTGCTAAGAGTAGATTCTAAGTATTTTGACTACAAATAAATGGTAAGTATGTGAGGTAATACACGTTACTCTGATTTCAGCATTCTGCAGTATATACTACTTCAAAACATGTAATACACTATAAATATATATGGTTTTATTGGGGCTGGGGATGTGGCTCAAGCGGTAGCGCACCTGTCTAGCATGCACGCGGCCCGGGTTCGATCCTCAGCACCACATACCAACAAAGATGTTGTGTCTGCCGAAAACTAAGAAATAAAATGTTAAAATTCTCTCTCTCTCTCTCTCTCTCTCTCTCTCTCTCTCTCTCTCTCCTCTCTCTTTAAAAAAAAAAAAAAAATATATGGTTTTATTTGTTGAATAAAAAAACAAATCAGGGAGGAAAGCACATATACAACATATACAACACATAAACATACACAGATACATATATATATACACACGCACATACATATATATATATATATATACACACACACACACATATACGCACAAAGAAAGATCAGGAAATTGTACTGTGGGGCTGATGGATAATAATAGATATTGATACAAAAAAGTACTCTGCAAATGAACACACTGTAATTTTGATTATTTTATTTCAAAATTTCTGTAAAATATGATGTAGCCTCTTGTGATTTTTAAAAAGAATCCTGGGGCTAGAGTTATGGCTGAGTGGTAGAGTGCTTGCCTCCCATAAGTAAGGCATTGGGTTCCATTCTCAGCACCACATAAAAATTAATTAATTAACTGATTGACTGATTGATTAGTTAAAGGTATAGATTCCATCTACAACTAAAAATATATATAAAAAAAGAATCCTGGGACTGGGGTCTTGACTTAGTGGTAGATTCACGTGCAGGGCCCTAGGTTCGATCCTCAGCACCACATAACAATAAAGGTATTTAAAAAAAAAAAAATCCTGAGCAACATTTTGACCTTTTCCATGTTACTAACCTATTACAATAAATGGTAATTACTATATTTTGCTATTGTAAAAGGACACTAAATTACTTTTAAATTTATGTATAAATAAAAATCTGAAGTCACAAAAAATATATAAATAGTTGTGGTATTTAGGTGATAGGAAAATGGAGTCTTTAAAATATATTTTATTATTTTGGGGCTGGGGTTGTGGCTCAGTGGTAGCGTGCTTGCCTAGCATATGTGAGGCACTGGGTTCGATTCTCAGCACCACATACAAATAAATAAAACAAAAGTCCATCAACAACTAAAAAATATTTTTAAAAAATAAAAATAAAATAAAATATATTTTATTTTTAATTTAAAAATGTTGTCACTCTTTGAAAGGCATTTTTGATGTATATCAAAAAAGTTCATACTTAGTGTAATAAGCAGGTAAAACTAAGAATTCCCTAACTTTTAATATGAATATTACTGTCATAGCTAAACTAAATGTACATGATATGGAGATGACAATGACACTAATGTATTGTTCAGTAAAAAAGATACATTGCAGAACCACACATATGATTCTTGATATAGAAAACAAAACACCACATATAGCCAGGCATAGTGGCTCACATCTGTAATTGCAGCAACTGGAGGCTACGGCAGGAGAATCACAAGTTCAAGGCCAACCTCAGCAATTTAGCAAGCCCAGAGCAACTTAGCAAAACCCTGTTTCAAAATAAAAAATAAAAATGGGCTGGGGATGTGATTCAGTGGCTAAGTGCCCCTGGGTTCAACCCCAACACCAAAAACAAATCAATCAATAAATAGCCAAAACTGGCTTGAAATTTATGATCTTTCTGCCTCAGCCTCCCCAGCTGCAGAAATTAGAGGCATGCACTACCAAACCCAGCTTGCTTGCTTGCTTGATTTATTTATCCATCTACCTATCTATATCTTTATTGATACTGAAGATTGAACCCGGGGTGCTCTACCACTGAGCTACATACATCTTCAACCCTTTTTATCTTTCTTTCTTTTTTTTTTTTATTTTTGTACCAGGGATTGAACCCAGGGCGCATTTAATACCGAGAAATATCCCCAGCCCTTTTTATTTTATTTTATTTTATTTTTTGAGACAGGGTATGGCTAAATTTCTTAGGGCCTTGCTAGGTTGCTGAGGCTGGCCTTAAACTTGCAATCCTCCTGTCTTAGCCTCCAGAGCTGCTGGGATTATAGGCATATACCACCATAACCAGCTTGCATATAATTTTAAAAAGCTCTACAAAGATATTCACCAAACTGTTAAGAATGCTTATTCCTGGAGAATGACTGGAAAGATTTTTTAAATTCACTTTTTATTCTATATATTTCTGTATTATGTATTTATTTCATAGTAAACGTACTTTCACAACATTTCAATCACCAATTTTTAAAAGTATTTAAATGTACCATCAGTTTACATTATTTTACTCTTTTCATGCATTAAATTCAACACTTGGGAGGGAAGGATGGGGAAAAGTTATCAATAGGTACTAAGTTATAGTCAGGAGTAAGAAGTTCTGGTGCGCTATTATACAGTAGGGTGACTAGAGATAATGATAATGCACTGTATATTTCTAAAAGCTGTAAGAAGGGATTGTGAAGTTTTTACTATAAGGAAGTGATAAATATTGGAAAGATGATTTTATCCCAATTTAAACATCATATAATGTATACACATAAGGAAACATCACATGATATCCCAGAAATATGTACAATTTTTGTTTTTACATATCAGTTAAAAAATACATTTCATTTAAAGTTTTAAAAAATGCAATACTTTCACAAGGCATCAGAATAAAAGCACCTTCTAAGAAGAGAGTAAAGGAGAAAGAACTCAAGAGCTGAACTAGGTTTTGGGAAAWGTCTAGATTAGGAGGGAGAGAGGGACAGAATGTGATCCCATAAAGATATCTCTGAAGAACTTAGAACATGGTATGTCATGGAATCAAAAATGAGAGGCCAGACACAGTGGCACACATCTGTAATTCCAGTGACCCAAGAGGCTGAGGCAGGAGGATCACATGTTCAATGCCAGCCTCAGCAACTTAGCAAAGCCTTAAGCAACTCAACAAGACCTTATCTTGAAATTTATAAAAGGCTGGGAATATGGCTCAGTGGTTAAGTGCCCCTGGATTCAACTCCAGTATCAAAAAAATTTTTTTTCAACACTTTTATGTATAAATTATTAATGATCAGATCCAAAGGAAAAATTGAACATGGCAGCAAATATCAATAGATTACATATGGCTTCCAAAAACATGATAGTTTTTTTTTTTAGATATTGATGGACCTTTTTTTTTATTTATTTATTTGTATGTGGTGCTAAGAATCGAACCCAAAGCCTCACGCATGCTAGGCAAGCACTCTACCACTGAGCCACAACCCCAGCCCCCATGATAGGTTTTTATAGCATCCTACTTAGAATATAACCCAGAAGACACATTCAGGGGGTACCCTGAAATAGCTGGGATGAAAAGTTTATTGTATAATATGTATATTATATATTAAACTCTCCAATAAGGGGCTCTGGGACCCACTTGGTACATCAAACACAAGTGAAAGCAAGAAAAGGTTAAGAATCTTACCTTTTCCAAAATGAACTTGTTTAAATATGGCATGTAACCCTGGTTGGAGACAGGCCCTTCATCATCATCCCTGAAGTGCTCCTCAAGGGCAACAGGATCATGTGGAACCTTCAGAACTGTGCACAAGTTATGGGAAAGGACCTAAAGGGAAAAAAAATAGTAGTTTAAAAGCACCCACTAAATCACTATGTGACACCTCCATTGTATGAACACAACACATAGTTCCCTGCCCTAGGCAGAGAAAGACCAAGAATATACCAGCAAGCCAGGCACAATGGCACACACTTGTAATCCCAGCAACTCAGGAGACTGAGGCAGGAGAACCGAAAATTCAAGGCCAGCCTCAGCAATTTAGCAAAGCCCTAAGCAACCAAAATAGAACATTTTTTTTTAAAGGAGGCTAAGGATGTGGCTCAGTGTCCCCTGGGTTCAATTCTCAGTACCAAAAAGAGAAAGAATAAAGCAGCAAATTCAAGATAAGTACTGCTCAGCTGCCAGCCCCCTATTTATTACACATGAATCTCTCTCATTCCTCCCCAGTTTTGGTTTACCTCAAGCAAGTTCTATTTTACATTCCTATATTAGCCATGTTCCATGCAAGGTCTATGAATACAATTCTCCTTATTGTCTTTTATTAACATTAAAAAGAAAGGGAGGAGGTAAATGGTGTTCAAAATTATGTAGATAAGCATAAGTCAAATAGAGTTTATTTAGAGAAGGAATTGGATACTGGGCAGATATAGCCAGGTGTTCTGAATAAGGAAGCTCAGCTGGACAAATCACAACTTCTCTGGGCTTCAGTTTGTTCATATATTCAACAGAAAGAACAAATTAATATACAAATATACCAAATGCTAACTTGTAATCTGTTTAAGTGTCCAAATATCTCTAAAATTCTATGTCTCTAGGCCAAGTTTCAGCATAAGCACAAAAGAACACAAATATAAAAGAAAGAAATCAAGAGTGTGGTTTAGAAATAGAAAACTATTAACGACCAATAAAAAAAAAAAAAAAAAAGAAAACTATCTCAGGTATGGTGATTACTAGAGATAGGGCAGGGGAAAAGGGTGTGGAAAAAAAGGCAGCTGGATTTGATGAGTGCATTCTGTGTGCATGTATGCAAATATCACACTAAACCCCTTTAATATGTACAATTGATATGTTTTAATAAAAAATCTCTGAAGCCACTAAACTGGTTGAAAAACACTTTGTAGAACATTTGCTTTCTACAGCAAAAATCATAAGACTACTACTGGTCTTGCAATAACCTAAGTGCATACTTCAACATTCAGGCAGTAGGATTAGCAGTTTGAGTTATCTCATGAAATTCTACTTAATGAAAATTTAAAAACAAAACTTAAGTCCCTTCCATTTCATTTGTACATTCTAAACAGGTCAAATTACATATGTAAGGCTACAATGTCTTTAACCGAGAAACTTCCTAGATGTCAAATCCCAGATTAMAATATACCCTATTTTTCTCAGTATTACATATTTAACTACTTAAGAAGCCACATTCATCTCAGTAAACACTTTCGATTCCATGAAGCAAGTCATTCTTTTCTGCATATACATATTTCAGTACAATTTTTAAAGATTAAAAATTTTAATCTATAAAAAGAACATTTGAATACCTTTTTTCTAAATTGGTTTTGTTTATCAAAGCTTCATTTAGGTGCACATCCTTTTCTACATGCTCTACTGGTTTTAAGGAAGTAAATAAAGTAAAGGAAGTAAATTTACCACTTATTATAAATGTAGTAATGAAGACTTTTCTCAATCCCTACAAAGCAGGTTGTGTTTGCCGGTAGAACACATGAAAAGGATTTTAATGAAGAATCTTGTGCCACAGTCAACAAAATCCTAAAAAGGTACATATTTTTTTTCCTCTCTATTTACCTAGTAAAACCTCTATGGTAATTACCTGCCCCTAAGAGGTTTTGTGGAGATCAATTTCAAGAATGTAAAGTGCTTAAAAATTGTAAAGTACTATTGGAAAAATAAGTTTTAGAGAAATGAAGAGCATATTTCTCAACTGAAGATAAAAGGTCATTCAAATTATAAAATCATCTGGGACTTTACTAAGTAAAAATTCCCAACCACTGGCTAATCTATGTTACATTCATAAAACATTAAAAACCATAAGGAAGCTGGCTATGTACTGATATGAAAAGATCCCCAAGATAAATTATGAGAATATATAGTATGCCATCTTTTGTGTAAAAGAAAAAGGAGGAAAAGTAAATTGTGGAAGGAGTTATTAAAAAAAAAAAAAAGAAGAAAGAAAGAAAGAAAAACTTAACTGCAAGGAGAAGGCTTAACTGATGGGAAACCAAAGGTAAAGACAACTTTTCACTGCATCTCCCCATCTTATTCAAAAAAATTACATATTAAAGAATGCTCTACCTAGGCTGGGGGTATAGTCCAGTGTACAGCATGAACAAGACCCTGACTTAATCTCCATCATAGCCCCCCCCCMCACCAAAAAAAAAAAAAAAAAAACTAACCAGGTACAGTGGTGCATACCTGTAATCCCAGATGCTCAGGAGGCTGAAGCAGCAGGATCTCAAGTTCAAAGTCAGCCTCAACAATTTAGCAAGGCCCTAAGTAATTTAGACAGACCCTCTCTCAGAACAATTTGGGCTGGGGATTTGGCTCAGTGGTTAAATGCCTCTGGGTTCATTTGCAGTACCAAAAAAAATAAATTTTTTAAAAACTGAAAATATATATTTTTAATCAGCCTGCCAAGGATCACATAGCCAAATCTATGTATCTTCACAGTCTATTCTTCTACAATAACTTACTCCCTAAAGACAAAGTATAAAAGGAAGGCATAATCCACAACAATGTGCCATAATTAATGGATAAGTGAGATCTAAGGGCAACACATGAGTTTAGAAAAGGGAGAAATAGAAGAGAGATGTAATCTAGGGCTGTAAGGATAGCTTTTGGACAGGAATAGAGGCAACTGACCAGAAAGGGGGATAAAATGAAAAAGTAGTTGTTTAAGGCAAAGTTCTCAGGAAACAGAAAGAAAACAACAATTTCTCCACGATTACCCTGTCCTCTGCCTTTGGGCTTCACAGATGCTCCAACTAAAGTCCTGGCAGGACCCTTGGATGCCATGTTGTCACAGTTCTCATAAGTAGAGAGTACTAGCTTGAAGAGTTAAATATATTTTTCTTGACTACRGTTAATGAGCAGAGCTGAGATCAGAACTTAGGTTTTACAATCCCTAATCCACACTCTCTAGTAATAAGGAATGTAATGCTTTCAGTTATCCAAAGTCAATAGCAAGGCTCTCTGTAGCTGGAGGTGATTAATTTGATTCAATGATCCCACTAAAGAAGATTCAAATTTGAACTCTAGACTTCAGCAATGGGCAATTAAACAGTATTCTTGCTAAATACAAGGATGGCTAAATTCAGTTATAATTTTCTTAATCACATTTACTTGCAATCTGTGGGGAGGCAGCACATATAATAACAAGCACACCCTGAAGGAAAAGACCTGAAATTCTATCCTGGCACAACTATGGACCACCACATATACTCTATATGCTCACTATAAAATGAGGAGTTGGGCTTATGTCCAAAATTTGGAGGAAAAAAAAGCTCAACCTTTAACTGTCAACCCAAACTCAATTCAGGAGAAATGCAGAGCACTATAATTAAGATGAGTAGTCCAGCTTTGTTATAGCTTTTATCAGTAGGCCTAGAAAAAGGAAGTAGTCTTTAAACAAAATAACAAATTGAATGAGATAAAAAGAGAAACAAAATTAGTGTGTTATCTTTAAAACTTTTTACCAGATATTTATAAGCCTAGACATAATCTCAGGTTTTTTAAATTAAAAAAAAAGTACCAAAATTTTGATGGCCAGAATTTAAATGAATAAGTTCCATAAGCTTATACCTGTAACCTGTGCTTTTTAGAGTAGACTCACACCATCAGAGTTTATGAGTTGTAAAACTGGGATTAGATGCAATTTTCTCACTCTGGTATCCTTTCCATGCTGTGCTACCTTAGTTCTCTGGAAAAACAGCCCCAACCTATACAAACATGACTCTGAATAGGCAAGCACATTATGTCCAAATTGCTGGAGGAGCTGGGGCTACCCCAGTTCCATCCGTTGCTTTCCCAGCACCCAAAAAGATGACTGGTACTCTTCAGCAGAGCCAAGTTCAATCCTGTGTTAAAGAACTACACACACATTGGGCAAGGTGGTGCATGCCTGTAATCCAGCAGCTTGGGAGGCTGAGGCAGGAGATCATGATTTCAAAGCCAGACTCAGCAAAAGCAAGATGCTAAGCAACTCAGTGAGACCCTGTCTCTAAATAAAATACAAAATGGGGCTAGGAATGTGGCTCCGTGGTCCAGTGCCCCTGAGTTCAATCCCCAGTAAACCACCCCCACCCCACCCAGCCAAAAAAAAAAAAAAGAACTACTCACGCCTAAAAATCTATAGAATACTACACCATTTTTTTCTCTGGGAGCCCTTGACTCCCAACACCAGCCTCTGGCAATAGCCCTTTCCCCAAATGAGGAAGCCAGAAAAACAGATCAAGACAAAAGCAATCAGAAAGAAAGAGGACTATGAGTTCTTAATTTGTAAAAGGACTGCCACTAAATCACTGTAATCAGGGTGTTTGCAAGTTTCTTTAAAAAGCTGAACTTATCCCACTTTAAATGCCTGTTCTTCCAAAGGCCATTCTTCCAGCACCCACATGATTTCTAAGCAATTCTGCTCATTCCCCTGATTTGAAGAATAAACTATTGTTACACAATAAAGATCCATATCCACGCCAGAAACTCATCTCTCCCATTCCTTCAATGGCAGTCTAGTGTTGCCCTTGCAGGGCCTCTGCTGACAAGAGATGACTAACTGGCTGCATGAGCCCTCTACTGTGGTCTGCTGTTGTTCAGTGGTCTGCCATTTACCCTTTTTAAGCATTTTGCCCTGCTCTCATGAAAATGAAATCAAGGATAGTAAATGACTAAATACTGTTTTAACACACATGAACTTAATGTTCACCCTCCTACCTCGCAAAGATGTCTAGATTTTAAAAGGTTCTTTGAAATGTGCCCTCCAGTCACATCGTTTCCCTGTACAGGATGTGTGTAATGGGCAAGATTTAACACTG